ACAAAGAAAGAAACCACTTCTTTCTTCTTCCATATTTATATTTCCCTTTGTGTTCTTGGAGTTTTGGAGAATTACACTAATGCTTAAGTGTTGAATTCTTTACAATACTTGATTAATCCTCCAAACCATTTGCCAGAAAACCCTTTAAACACCAAAGTGTATCGAAGAGGGGGCAAATATTGTTTGAGGACAACGATTACGTGTTTGAGCCTTTCATGTCATTGAAGTTTTTGATTATTTGCGTCAGTTTCTTCCAATCTTTTGTGTGGAAGATCAAATGACTACAAAATGAGATAGTACAATATGCGGAAACATCAGATAAGTTTATCATCTTCTTTTGTTTGTTTCTATTGTTGAATTTAGATTTGATCTTGGTTTCGTTCATCGTGTTGCCGGTTTTAATTTTGGTTTCTTCTCAATTTCCTCTCGTAGTGAAAAGTTTCCAACAATGGCTTCTATTTGTGTAGGATTTCTAGCTTTTTCATTTTCCCTTATTTAAAGACCGAGTCCAGTTACTATTCAATTTATACATCAGTTCTCCATATTGAATCATTTTAAGGTTTCATGGTTGTCATAAACAGGTTTAAAAGTAAATCAACTTATTTTTAAGTTACTTATTTTGTCAATCATAATTTTTATAGTTACTTTTTTTTACGAAGGATATTACATATACAAATTGAGTCTTTAACTTACTTTCTTTAAAAAAAAAAAAAAAAAAAAATTAAAACAAAAAATAAAAAAAGAAAAAAGTTATATAGAATTNTTGATGCACATAGATGGATGTTTTAAGTCGGTTCAGCCTCACAAATTGACCTAACTCGCCTGCTCGACCGCTTCAAAAGCCTGACTTCATCTTCACCTCCTTGATTGTAGGGGCAACCCCGAAATTTATGTAACCATGGTGGAGAAGGAAATTCTAGGCGGAATTCACGAAATTTATGTAAACATGGTGGAGAAGGAAATTTTTGTAACCAATTTGGGACACAACATTTGCCTCGATCTCTTCCTCAGTAAGGGAGTCCATATGGAATCCAACAAAGATGGCAATGAGGGCCTCTAGGTCGACCTCCTTGTCGAGGTTGGGAGGGGACTTGCGTTTGCGTTGGTAGGAAGGTGAGTTGGGGAGTTCAGTCTCAGAGTGGGAGTAGGCGATGGTTGTTTTGGGTGCGGACGATGGACACAGAGGCGAGAGGCGGATGTTGATATCATATCGGTGAAGATTTTCCTACAAGGCGCCTTTTCTTCTGAGCGGAGGTTGGGTTTCGGGTTCGTGTGAGTCGGAGATGGGTTCAGTTTCCATGGGGTTGGATGGGACGTACGAAACGACGGCATCAGTTATCGTATCGTTCGTATGGTTGTTGGTGGTAGAGAGTTCAAGAGGACCAACGTTTGTTGAGACATTGGTGGTGGACTCTGGTGGTGACACGGTGGTTTCCATATGCGGAGTCTCCTTTCAGTTTCAGACCTACTTTCTTTGGCAATGGAGGTAATTATGCTTCTTATTGGACCCGACCCGATTCGGGTTGGGTTGGTTTAGGGTAGGAGTCGGGTCGAGTCGGTTTGTTAAAGAGCCCAAAATTGAGTATATCGGGTCAAGTCGGTTTTGAACCAAACCCGACCCGACCCATTGCCCACCTCTAATTTTAAGACCAATGATACTAAGGCTGTGTCTGGAAACACTTTTTCAAACAAATTAAAATCATTTTTATAGCCGTTAGCAGCAATAATTAATTACTCCACTCACAGCTGGGGCCCAGAAATTGACTGCAACGGTCCAATTTTTCCATTGCAATGGTTGGAATTACAATTAAAATTCCAACCAGACACACGCTAAATAACATGTTGAAATAAAATATTTTTACTTACTTTCAAATGAAGTAATTTATTGCTTTCCTTGCTTTCCCGGTTTGGTTTATATAAAAAAATAAGATATTTATTAAATTTTGATAAAAATTGGTAGAACGTCTAATTAAAAGATTGTGAGTCCAATAAAGTATACGAATAAAATTAATTGGTAGACCGCCTCTTGAAACTTTTTTCTTGGGGAAGGGGTCGGTACTCAAACTCAATTCACGCACAAAGCTTAACAATTCTTTGAAAACCTACTGAAAACCCCAGATCCAAAATATCATATTCCCTCTAAAAGGTTTGAATTTTTATTGGAAAACGAAAGATGGGAATAATAAGGAGTTGCTTTTCATTCATGGTGGGCTCAGCTGTAGGAGTGTACGTAGCTCAGAATTACGACGTTCCCAACATCCGGAAGCTGTTCAACACCGGTCTCTTGATTGCCAAACATATTGAAGAAAATTACCGCAAGCCTAAGAAGCGCGACGATGATTAATGGAGGTTTTTTGGTTTTTAGCTTTTAATTTGGGGAGCCCACGTCAAATTTATGAAGGGTTTTATTGTTCTCTGTGTTGGGGGATTTTTAAATTAGATTTTAAAATTTTTAGGGGTTTTGAATTGGGAGAAATTGGGAAGAACTTTATTGAGTTACTATTTTCTTTACTTGTTATAAGAATTGATTGACTGGAAATATAAGAAATTTCGTAATTTATTCTAGGTATATTCACTGAAAATTTAAGAAATTTGATGATTGGTTATCAGTGTTCATCAATTTGAAATATATGATCGTGTATTTTTTTAAGGGGGAATCATGTCCGAGGAGTGAAAATCTTGTTAACATGCACACAAACACACGGATATGGATATTGCTAAATATGTAAATACAGTGGTTACCGTGTAGCCTGACAGTTCTGTGATGGAATCTGTGTTGGATCATTATTCTTAAAATCACTTACTGTGTGATGGTGAAACTTAAAGCTATTTGGATGCTATTCTGATGTTTGAAATATGTTTGGTTGACATGGAAGGTAGCAGTAGTGGATGTGAGATTACTCCTAAGCTCAAAACATATGAGAGCTTACTTCATTGTATGGTGGTAGTTGAGTTGTGCTAACATCGTTCGGAGATTGCTTCGCCGGAAGTTTGAATGAGCGAATTTTTCACTGTAGTGTGATAGTCGAGATCACCTGTGCTAGTATTGTTTGGGTGGAAATTTGTATGCCGGAGCTTGTGCTTATACACGGTCAGCTCCTGTACTTGTAGGAACTAAATATCTATAGTAACATAGTAACTTTTTTCATCATGACAAGCCACTATCTATGCTTTATGCCAACAGAATCAGTTTAATGCCTTGTGATGTTTGTATATGTATAATTGGATCTTACTCATTGGTTATCAAAGATAGTACATCAATAATCTGGAACCCTTACTGGACCTTGAACAGCCTTACTCCATACTACAATGAAGAAGAAATCGAATCTCTAGTTGATTATGATTTATGCATTTGTTCGGTCGTAAACTTCAGGGTCTCGTGGGATTAGTCGAGGTGCGCGCAAGTTGGTTCGGATATCCACGGTTATAAAAAAAAAAGGTTATTATTTCAATTAGCTCAGTAGATCTTGAGAATTGATTTTATGAAGTTCATCTATCATACTTTATATACATTGCTTACTTGACAAGCTAAATTTTTATTTGTTGTTTTGGTATATCGATTCAAAACACGTTTAATTAAAACAAGGTAGGCATCCGAAAATGTACAGGTTTGGCTTATAACATTCGATGTGTTATATTTCTTGAACAAATTTGTTTGTTAGTTGCATTTCAGCTCCAAAATGCAATTAAGACAAGGATCGAAAATAATCTTCCGAGCATGGAGTTATAAAGGTCATGCCCTAGAGGCTGGAGATATACAGATTGTTATTCCTCTATTCATCTTCTGGTTACTGTGGAGTGAAAGAAATAGAAGTAAACTCGATGGGATTAGAACAATCTGATGAAGTTTTTTATGCAGGAACAAATTCATGGATTGATCACTAGATTGTTGAAGATGGATAGATTAGAACTTCCTAACATTAGAAAAGAAATGAAACCTATTAAACATATTCCTACGGCTGCCCGTGCTGCCTCCATTGATTTTTTTCTCCTTATATTGGGCGGTCGCTCAACGACCACTCGAGCGACTGCCCATGCAGCTATGTTCACGTCGAACCGCCGCTAATTGAACGTCTAGGTTGAGCACAAGATTTATAGCTTGTAAATCTTACTATATAAATTAAAAGAATTTTTAAATGTGAATATGATACTCAAAATAAAAAATGAAGAAGGTCAGTATGATTTTTTTTAACGTTAATGAATGTATCCGACATTGTCAAAAAGTAAAATACAAAAAAATATATATATAGAAAAAAAAAAAACTTGATTGAGAATTTTTATTTGTTTTCATTTAAATAATTATTTTCGAAAATGCATTCGAAAAAAATGTTAATTTTACAATATTGAAAACTACTTGAAAGTAACAAATGAATGCACTCTAATTTTCTATTTGCCAATTTGTCCACAAATAGGGATGACAACGGGGTGGGGAGGGGCCGTTTCCCTGTCCCGTTTATTTTTTTTGTCCTAAAAAATTTTCAATTATGCAGTTAATGAAAAAGATAACTCTACTTCCCAAAAATATTTGTTCATCAAATTTAAGAATATAAATCTATAACTCTACTTTCAAAATATATTTGTTTTTCACGGTACGGGTTCAGGACAGGGCATCTCTGTCCCGTCCCGCCTTGAGACCCGGGACGGGGCGCCCCCTCCAAGCCAACTTGATCGGGGCGGTTTTTTTTGTCATCTCTATCCACAAATCGGACTAATTCATCAACAGAAGGACGGATGGAGAACAAATATTTTTGAAGGATTAGTTTAGCATTCTTTTGAGTTCGAGGATGGATTTGAAATAGTAGCAAAAGTTCAAGGCTGGATTCGGTTTTTTCATCCCGAATTTCCCCCTAGACTAATCAAATTAGGGTTTCTTTCTGAATTAGGCAATTAGCTCAAATCTATGCATATACAGTGTTTCTCAATTCCAATCGAATTAGGGTTTCTTTCTCTGTATTAAATAAACCCATCATTGGGTTTCAAATAATCGGTAGAATTCCATCATGGGAGGCCATGGCGGTCTAAACATTCTCCCGCAGAAGCGTTGGAATGTGTACAATTACGATAATCGAGAGAAAGTCAAGCGAGACGAGGAAGCCGCCGCCAAGGAGGAGCAGCTGAAGCGAGAGCAAGCCCGCAAGCGCGATGCTGACTCTCGCCTCGAGAAACTCCGCCAAGCTCGCGGCTTTTCAAGCCCAGCCCTAGCCGCGGAGCCATCCACGGCAAACCAAACTGTATCATCTGTCGAACCCCCCAAATCTGATTCCGACTCTAAGCACATAAATTTGTTTGAAGGGATCAAAATTTTCGATCCAATTAAAATCGATACAGGAAAGGAAGACGAGAAGAAAGGAAAATTTAGTGGTTATAACGCTAATAAGAAGATGAAGAAGGAGGAGACCGTGCGGGTAGTGGGACCCGAGGATGAAAAGTATAAGTTGGGGTATGGGGTGGCCGGTAAAGGAGTCAAATTGCCGTGGTATATGGAAAAGCGAGTAAGTGGTAATGTGGATGAGAAAAATGGTGACGAGGAATATTATGACGGTGATGAGAGACAGAAGGTAAATAAAAAGAGTGGTGGAAAGAAGACTGTGGAGGAGTTAAGGGAGGAGAGGTTGAGGAGAGAGAGAAAAGAAAAGGAAAGGGTAAGGGCTTTGATCATGGAGAAGTCAAGAAAAGATGGAGGGTTTTCTTCGAGGAGGAGATGAGGTAATTTTAGACTATTGTATTGACATCGATTTGTGTTTGTACGTTATTTTGATGTCGTTATGGCGAATAACTGATACGAAGTGTGAACATTGTATTGTTTGGTAATGATAGTTATTATCATGTCCTCTTGGTTATGTTTCTCTGTCAACTTAATGCGGATTTAGTGATAACAAGCAATTGAATTGGCAGTTAATGTCATTTAGGAGGACCAAGAAATGATTTTCTCGTTTTGTGATTTTAATTGCTATGTTATCTATATGTTTTGTTAGAAATTATTTGGAATTGATTCGTTCTTCGAATCCTTTGATTCTCTTTGCATTTTTCTTACTCTATAAATATAAGCTTAAAGGTTTGTAGCAACTAAAATGGGGGTGGTGTACAAGCATTTTGGAAATGTTTGGTCCCTATTGCAATCTTTACGGGCTCGAGAAACTTGACTGCTGAACCCAGAAAGAAATGGGATGTACAAGACAGCTGACTCTTTTACTGCATTCCAGTAACGAGGGCTGCCCTGATGCTGTTCCAACATAGTCCCATGAACAATAACTTTGAGAATTGAGAGAGAGAAGAAAGTGAAGAAAATGGAAAACTTCCTCATTTCTAAAGCTGTAACTACTGTTTTTTTTCTTGCACAGAGAATCTTCAGACATTGATATGGAAGTAAAAGTTGAAAGAGTGGGAATATTTGTACAATAAATCTGAAAAACGGGACACCTTTTGATTCTAGGATATGAGTTTTTTGATCAATTTTTTAGCTTTAGGCTGGTTGAAACCCTTGAGCACCTCTATTGTAGCCAAAGATGTTGTATTTGCAAATTATACTTCTTCCGGGACTAAATATTCAGTGAAAGTTTCTCTCTTGTTGATTTGGTATATAGCTCCAATATTTGATGTGCACGCATATGTTTCCATCTTTATCCAATTTCTCGATCCTTCTTGACTTGTTCTTGTCCTGAAGTGCTTATCTTATGTTTGCCTAATGTTATATTCTGTAAGAGATGAGGGTTTCTTGAGGAAACAAACTAATAGTGATGCACCGATACTGAAGTTGATATTTCCTTTATTTGTGCTTGGGTTGTATGATGGCACTAGCCCCCAATTGGCCATATTAAAATTATAATTCATTTTTCTATTTCTTCTTATTAATTACACATTCTCCAATAAAATAATATTGTACGTAATTCCAAAAAAAAATTGTTTGTTTTAACAACACATTTAAAAAAAAAAAAATACTATTCCAACCATTAAAATTTCAAATAATGGGGGCCAAACATGGGCTTAATTTAATTACTTTTGAGTTTAGTTCTTGATGTGTTCTTGGTTTTGTAATTTTTGAAAGTTTTGGATACTAGGGATCAAATTTTGGTAGATAATGAATATAAGATCACCACGTTGTATGTGAAACTTTTGAGGTTTGTTCACTATGGCGACCAGATGGTTTTGGGTATTAGTGTTCTTTGGAATACATAAACATGGTCTGTCAGTCTGAACCTGGGAGCTGTGATGGTAGAGTGGTGACTAATGGGCTGAGAGGCACTACTGCACTATTTTATGTGGTCGAAAACAAATAAACCAATGAGGCGGATACACTTTTGCTTTAAAGTCTCTCACTACGATATTGGATCTATGATGCAGAACGGTTAAAAGGAATACTCTTATAAAGCCTTTGACGATGGATTTTGTGTTGTCTGTTTCCACGACTGTTATCACCAGTCAATAATGTTAATTGTTACGGGGCTGTGTCAGACCCTCCACCTCGACACCATGTATCTGTGAAGATTGCTTACACGCCCGACACTTGGTGCCGAGGTGATTACCTCATGGGATGAGCTGGCTGTACATGTTGAAGCTATTACGAAAGGAATGAACTGAACAGGCACCAGCGAAAGGATGAGAAGAGGAGGGCTGTTGGATGAGGAGACACGTGTTGCTAGATCTCCAGAACTCGTCTCATCCTAAGTGTTAATCTGTCCATCCATAGGCTGGCTGACATTGAGTATTTCTGACAAGAGCTACTGATTTGACCGTTCGAGTCCTGTCACTCGTCCTATCAGTCACTGATTTGACTTTGGAATGATCCTTGTACAAGAGATCTTTGGTGAGGCGAGGTGAGGCCTTGTAGCGTTTTGGAAGAGGAGTGCGGACATCTGCATCCTCGATGTGTTGGCGGATGAGTCCGATTCGTTCCCAAATGAAATGAAAATTGGATTCACATAACAAGAGAAAGATTTTCTATTCCTTAGACGAAAAGATATGCAGCCATGAAAGATAAAGAGTGATTAATGTTGACCTCGAAAAATGGCTCCAACACGTGGCCGATAAAAGAAGGTCTTCTAATCAACTCCTCTCTGCACACGTGGTACGCCGTCAGTCGCTCGGGGCCTTTCCCGGAGGGGTTGGGAGCGGCTGCAAGCACTTGACGGTCAAGTCAGTCTGAAATTCAATAAAAAGGGGTTCGTCGGCGGTAGAGCATTCGTCGGGAAGTAATTGAACATGTAATAATAAAAATGCCAACAATATGGGAGAGAAGATAATACTCAAGTGCCTGGTGTAGTAGTGTATTGAATTCCAAAAAATCTCTCTTCTTCAGGCATAAGGAGAGAGCATTTCTTTTTTCTCGTCATGGGTGACGTGGAGAATGAGTTTAATCGAAGTAAGGATGCAATTTATGGGCGTAAGTACTGCTAATCCATTTTCCTAATTCTATCAGGACACATGCATAAATTTTTGAGAAACTAAAGTTTAGCGACTCTTTCCTAGGATTCTCCTAGACTATTTAAGATTCCTCATGGAAGTGGGAAAATACATATGATTTAATCATAACAAATTAACATATAACTAATATCCTGTAGTCTATATAAAGCACTCCCGTCCAGCCATTATTGGAAAGACCAGAAAAAAAAAAACCTTTCGATTTCATCATGAAATATATCCTAAATAATAAATTGACGGTAGCTTAGGGGTTGTTCTCTTTGTGTTTCAGTATTGTGTTTTGAGTTTTGAATTCATTTTGTATTTTGTGTTTTAAGTGTGTATTTTGAAATTTCTGAAATTGCGTTCTTTTTGCCATTCTGAAAAACTGTTTCCGAAAATATAAAAATGGAAAATGCTTTTATTTTGAAATTTTGAGAATTTGTTTTAATAATATTTTATTCAAGAAATCTGATTATTCAATAAGTTTTAATAGTTTATTAATATAGTATTAAATAATNATATAGTATTAAATAATATATAAATTTTGAAGTTGGTGAATCTTGAAATATTTTTTTTTTCCATATATAGAAAACACAATTTAAATTAAATTTGACAAGTCCTTATTTTTGTCCTTGTACATAACTTGTGACAAGAATTAACTAACATCAAGTCACAACCAAACCTAAAATAGGAGTTGGAGCAGAGCTTGTACACACATACTGCAGGCCCTGAAGACCCAATCAATAAAGCCAAATGACTAACAATTTTTAACTCATCAAACCTAAAATATCACAGGACAACCATCAAATACCCAACAGGAGTCAGAATAAACATAGCCATGCATGCATGCAAGAGATCATGACATAAATCATATGAAACTGAATGTTTCCCTTCCAATCCGTGAATGTGATTTAAGAATTCAATTCTTGGTATTGAAAAACTCCACAAAAGTGCATTTCTTCTAATCCAAACATATCATAGAGCTATCTAAAGACCGCCACCCCTGAGATAAACTAGGTGAAGAACAGAGCCACCCTCAA